TTCAGGACTTGTTATATTTTTTTTTTTAGCTAGCTTGGGTTTCGGGCTTAGGGTTTCAGCCTAAGCAATTAATTAGCTAGCAGAGCTCGAGTGCAGCCCAGGGTAGCTATGGTGTAGGCAGTCACTACCGCTTTGGGTTTCGACTTCTCAAACTCTAAATATACCCTTAAACCCTTTAGGCCGCAAACCTAGTCGCATTACTTGGAGGGTCGGGAGACATAGTAAGTATACGTACATTATATATTATATATATGAGTTATAATTAACCTAAAAGGTTGGGGTTAGGATACTTATAAGTCTATAAAATTAAGCAGCTACTAAGTCCCCCGACCCTCCAAGTAATTTCTATATGATCACAGCCCAAATAACCCGTGAACACCTCAAGTCCAAAACCACAAGTATATATCTATATATAGACCTAAACCCGAAGATCTCTAAAAACCCAACCCTTGCCCAAAAGAGCCGCAAGCCCCCGCAGCATCAGGAAGAAGCTCTGCCGGGCGATGACGCCTGCAAGAAAGCTTCATGGCATTGATCGCTTGATATATCAAGCTATATATAAATACAGCCTGTTTTACGGTAGGGCTAGTGGTCCCGACAATTGATGCGAGGTTGTGCCTGTTAATGTTGACAATGTCGAGACCCAGATTGACTTCTGGGATGTTCCAGCAGGATTGGCTGTGATCAATGAGGCGAGGAAATCCATGTACCTAATGGGTCACTAGCTACACTCAGGCTTAGCTTGTAATTTAACTCAATGCTGCAGGCTCCGGAGAAAAGGCCGCCGATCCACACGACGGCGCCAGATCTGAAGTTGTCTGAGGCTATGGTGCAAGAGTTCATGGAGGACTCGGAGCAAGCCAAGATCTCTGGAGCTGTAGCAGAGCAGCTGGAGGCCCACATGACCATACCAACCCTTAATCCCCCAGTCCTCAATTGTCTACAACCAGCACGGATAATGAATTAAGGCCTTAACCCTAAACCCCAGGATCATCTTAACCCCTATATCCCGGGACTTTCAGCTACCGTACAACATTCGATTCGATACTCCATTAAACACATAGCCTTATACTGGCATCAGATCTTTATATATACTGAGCCCAGCATTATTCGGATCAGGTGCAGAAAGCTGCGCGACTGGCAGCAGCCCAAGAAAAGGTTGATGCTGCCAAGCGCAAAGATGCAAAGCTGGTGGCCAAGGGATCAAAGGTGAAAACAGGCCGAGGCCGAGGGCGAGGACGTGGACGCGGTGCGAAGCAGCGGCAGCCAGAGCAGGAGCCGCAGCACGAGCAGGAGGAAGAGCAAGAGGAAGAGGAGGAGAATGAGGAACCGCCGGCACCGAAGCCCAAAGCAAAAGCCGCACCGAAAGCCGCACCGAAAGCCACACCGAAAGCCACACCGAAAGCCGCACCGAAAGCCTCACCGAAAGCCTCACCGAAAGCCTCTGCTGCCCCCGCCGAGAGTCCAATCGAGCCCGACAGTGCACCCAAGTTCGACTGGGGTATGAAGGCGCTTTTGTGTAAACATACTATATATGCCTAATTATATTCTGCCTTGCAAGGCTGCAGAGCTGAAGCGCAACGGAGTCCCGATCCCGCCTGGATTCAAAGGGACTGCGAAGTCGTATACCTTGCCGGCAAGAACGTACCACAACGAGATGTCGGAGCGATCGTCGATCAGTGTGCTGTAACTATCTGAAATTTAATCTGTGCCGAGCCAGCCTAGCTGCAGTATTACATGTTGCAATGCATGTAGCTAGCAGTCGAGGTGGACCATCAACACGATCTACATTACCAGGCTTCATGACACGCGGATTGGCAGTTTCGTTGCCAACAAAAAGGGTGGATGCACCCTCTCGAAGGGCAAGTTTCGATCATGGAAGCATTGTTGGGATACCGCACGATATGCGGCAGGGTGGACTGTGACTTGGCAAAATTAATATTAATTCTAGCTTCCATTTAAATACATGTTGCTACTGGCCCTCGTGGGTTATGCTTAAGCATGCATGTGCCTCACGAGGATATCTTGGAAGACGACGCATGCTACTGATCGCAGGGCCTGAATATGATGGATATCGATGATTGGATTTGCAATCGCCACGTTTTCTTTGGGCTGCTTGGCCTGCATCTGCAAAGCGCTTAGGTAGCCCTACACCCTAAACTATATTTTGTACAGGTGTGCACCCTTGCATATATGCATATATATATATATATATCAATGCCCCCCCTAAACCCCTAAACCCTAAACCATATCATACAAACTTAAACTTAAACGCTTCGCCTTAGCCCAGCTTCTGGCTGGGAGCTGGGAACAACTGCTGAGCTCGACTACTATCCAGATCCTTATAATGAAGCCCCTCCGAAACCCTTAGGGTTTAGGGTTTAGGGTTTAGGGTTTAGGGTTTAGGGTTTAGGGTTTAGGGTTTAGGGTTTAGGGGTTTAGGGTTTAGTGTTTAGCTTTAATTTAACCACATCGACCGATGTTTTGAGGTTGGGGCCTGCAAAGGTCATCGCATCTGCAAGCTGGGAGCTCAACCTGCAAGAGAGCGAGATTGTCTGCATTTGTGCAAACCTCCGGAAGTATTGCCCCTGCTCTCCAGCATCGAACTGATTTATTTGCATATAATTAATGTATAAGTGTATAAGTACCCCCAACACTAATATTTCCCATACCCCTGGCCGAATGCATGTAACAACTTGGGGTTGGTCCATGGGATTCTATAGCTCTAGCTTTATAGCTGCTAGGCCGGCAGCACCTGTTAAGCCATGGCTGGGGAACCGCTCTATGTTTCTCGTGACACTGCATCATTCCTTCTCAGATGTGGTGTGCCGGTAATTATGCCCCTTGGCCCACAATCTATATATTTAATTTGCACTGCATAGTCACTATGCTATAGGACCCATGAGCCTACATCATCAGCCGAGGCTTCATGCCCTCGACTATATCTGTCAGATGAACAACAACCGGACAGAGTCCGAACGCCCATGGACTCGAGACCCTTGACTCTGCAGTACGCCTAAGGTTTGTCGCCACTTCCTGTGTAAGCCCTTTTTCAAGTGTGCCGGGTCTACTGAGGAATTACATGTCCTGGAAATGTTTTCTGGAAGCAGCAACCTCACCCGAGCATGCCGCACTTTGGCTTATTATCATCGCTTATGTCGGTTCGTGAATTGGCCTCCTCGTACGCCCGAGGAAATGTCGGCTTGGTGACGCAAGCCTCCCAAATCGGAGTGTGTATGAGTGTGATCAGGTTCACGGGTGGCTTGGTCGTTTACCTGCATCAATCTAAGGCAGAACTACGACATAATGATTCGAGGAGGGCCAAACGATATTCTCTCGGTCCAGGGGCTGCTCGTTGCTTTACGAGATCTTCTCAGGTTGAGAAAGACTGGGCTGCTTTGGGGAGGTATCCCATGTTCCTCGAGGCTTGGCTTAACTAGCTGTACCCACTATAACTATATATCCCACAACACCCTAAGCCCAGTAAACCCGAAGTCCCCAACCCGATCTCAGAAAGCCCCACCAACTAAAACCATAGCCCACAACAAAAGCTCACAAACTCCAACCACGACAGTCACCCCCAAACCCCAAATAAGAACGATTCCCACAACACCCTAAACCTAATAAGTCCCAAACTGTCAAATCCAAAGACACACCAACTAAACTAAACAACCGTATTAATTTTAAGTATGGATCTGGCCCTGCTATAGTGATATCTATAGCATAGCAGCTAGCTAGGCCAGGTGTACTACCTAGTATTTAGCAACAGCATTATAATATATCTATATATATATATAGATATATGTGTCCGAATAGAATTTACTGAAATCCTAAAGCTAAATCACGCACTGAAAGCTTAAAAATATATTGGATCTTCAGCCCCCCCCCACCAAGACCCGACAGCCGCAGGGCTTAAGGAATTTAGTCTGGGGTTATATATATATATATATATTAATGTTGTGTAGCTATAGTGGGTTTAGGACTTTTGGTTTTGGGTCACAGAAGCCCAGAGTTTAGGGCAATGTGCTATATAAAGTCAGACCTAGCCCTTATAATGGGGGTGAGTTTTGCTGGCTAGGGCCAAAGGAGCTTTAAGAACTTTAGGGTTTAGGCAAAATTGTCAATTTTGGGGGGTCTCGGGCAACCCTAAACCCTAAACCCTAAACCGAGATTTGCAAAGCACTGGTGTTCTCGTAGCCATAGTGTTTGTGCGGGACTTTTCCTTCAATGGGTCCCGAGTCACCGTCGGTGCTGATGCAGGACTTCTGTTGCATCCGGTGTCTCGCCGTGTTGAAAGCTCGGTAGTCTTCGGACTCCTTAATCTCGTGCACGATCTCGACACGCTTTCGCTTCTGGTGCTGCCAGGTGTTTCCGCAGCTGGGGTTCGTTCCCACCATCATCTTCTTTCTCTTTCGTACTAGTACTACAACTACTACTACTACTACTACTACTACTACTGCTACTACTAGGCTACTACTACTACTACTACTACTACTACTACTAGTACTGCTACTACTACTACTACTACTACTACTACTACTACAGCTACTACTACCTAATAACGTGTACTAGTACTTGAGGGTTTAGGGTTTGGGGTTTAAGGTACTACTACTGCTGCTACAACTACTAGTACTACTAGCCTCAGCAACTATTACCTAGCATAGTAGTAATAGTAGTAGTACTATACTAGTACTATAGCTGAATCAATAAAGATATATAAGTTGCATCAATAAACCCAAAGCCCGATCTATTGCAAGCTGTTATGCATAAAACCCCTGTCCAAGGTGCTGCTACTACTACTATTACTACTACTACTACTACTACTACTACTACTACTACTACTACAAGTACTAGCTAGCTAGCTAGCTAGCTCTAGCACCAATAATGAACCCTATAAAGCAACAATTTCAACTTGAAGCCCGATCTATTGCAAGCTGTCATACAGTAAACCCCCTATCCAAGGTGGATATTCATGTCGTCCAGTACCACCGGCCGCTATGACAGCATCTTGGGAAAGGACACTGAATCAACCCGGACTGCGAACAAAATCGTAAGCAGATTCTGCCTTATGATATGCATTGCCTTGGGTCGTGGAGTCCACTGGCTGGTGTCTTGCCTCAGCTGATGCAGGCTGTTGCGAGCTAACAGGGTCCAGGCTCAAGGCTTGTAAAACATCAGTGTTCGTCCGAGGTGGAGCAGCCAGGTGGATCCCTGCTGATGCAATTTCCGTTGATAGATTATGTCCTCCGCCTCGACGGGCATGCTCACAGACTGCGGGGTCCCTAAATACCGCACCGTTATAGAAATGCATGTTGGATCGATGTAGGTGGATGGGAGCCTATGGCCACGTGCGACCCAAACGAACCCTTCTGTTTGGTTCCTTGTGCCTTGGCCTCCTGAACCAAAGCCCCCATAATTATGCAGCTTTAAATATACAACTAAGGACTGTGATCTATGGGATGAACAAGATGATGAGACCTGGAGAGTTCAGGAGGTCGAACACCACCCAACTGGTCAGGAGAACCAAGAAAGATGGTAAGCTTCGAGTGAGTCCGAGATGCATTCTAGAACTCTCTAGCTAAATATAGCATGAGCAATTGCGAAATACAGCTAGCTAAGGACGGGAAAAACACGTGCACTGCGAATGTCCGGTATCTATCCCAAGCAGTTCTGTGATGAGATGGCATGCCAAATCGAAAGCTACCAAGCCGTGGCCTCATATATACGTATGCACCAAACCAATCTTGAATCAGCTCTGTCCAAGGCAACCGGGATGCCCGGGCCACAGGTGAGGCATGATGTTCTCGACAACCAAATTCTGGTCCAGGACACCTTCCGTGTTTTGGGCATCAATGGGCGCTTGCAGTTCAGGGGAATCTAACTCGACCCCGATATCCCTGCTAGGCCTAGGGGTTCTAGACCGGACACGACCATAAAATGCTACGCCGAAACAAAAACCCAAACATGTAACACAAACTAATAAGGGGAACCCCAAGTTCAACCCAAACAGCCGTACCCGAAGCTAAGCCTAAAATTTAAGGGCTTAGGGTTTAGGGTTTTTTCGTACCCGAAGCTATAAGCCTAAATTTCAGGGTTTAGGGTGTAGGGTTTCGGGTTTAGGGTGTTTTCCTACCCGAAGTGCTAAGCCTAAATGTATAAGGGTTTAGGGTTTAGGGTCTAGGGTGTTTTCTCCTACCCGAAGCTATTAGCCTAAATTTAAGGGTTTAGGGTTTAGGGTTTAGGGTTTTTCGTACCCGAAGCGAAGCCTAAATTTAAGGGTTTAGGGTTCAGGGTTTTTGGTACCCGAATGGGTTTGGGTTTAGGGTTTTTTTCGTACCCGAATAAATTTCAGGGTTTAGGGTTTAGGGTGTTTTCTCGTACCCGAAGCTAAGCCTAAATCTAATAAGGGTTTAGGGTCTAGGGTTTTGTTCGTACCCGAAGCGAAGCCTAAATTGAAGGGTTTAGGGTTCAGGGTTTTTGGTACCCGAATCCTAAATTTGAGGGGTTAGGGTTTAGGGTTTTTTCGTACCCGAAGCTAAGCCTAAATTTCAGGGGTTTGGGTTTAGGGTTTTTCGTACCCGAAGCTAGGCCTAAATTTAAGGGTTTCGGGTTAGGGTGTTTTTGTCGTACCTGAAGCTAAGCCTAAATTTATGGGTTTAGGGTTAGGGTTTTTTAGTACCCGAAGCTAAGCCCTAAATTTAAGGGTTTAGGGTTTGGGGTTTAGGGTTTAGGGTTTCGGGTTGTTCGTACCCGAAGCTAACCCTAAATTTAAGGGTTTAGGGTTTAAGGTATGGGGTTTAGGGTTTAGGGTTTGTTGTACCTATATTATTATAAACATATGCATATTAATATATATATATATATATATAGAATATATATATATATATATATATGTATATATATATATATATCATATATACTCTACGCCTTTTCAAAGCTCAAGCCTCAGCTACACCCAGACGGGGCCCGCCTAAACTGCTGTTGGCATTTTACAGCTTAAGTACCCCTTATAAACACCATATTAAGCTTAATCCGAACTCGACAACCTCATCAAACTGCTGCAGCTGCTAATTAATATTATATTCGTATCGTATGATCAACCCAAACCCTCCACCTTAAACCCTGCTGAGCAGCATCCGTACCATCCATGTAGGGCACCAAAACCATAATATAACTAAATATCACCCAAAAACCCGAGATACAGAAACTCCAGCCTATAGGGTTCTGTATATAGCCATATATCGATGTCATGTGTTTAAGCTATAGCTTACAAGGGTCTCAGTTCGATAGCTAGTATGAGCATCCTCGGGCATTATAGGTTCGCTTTCGGCCTTGATGACCGGGGGGTCGGGTTTAACTACTGTTGCCCTGAATGCCTATATCTTAATCATGCCACTTGTATTTAGCCTGTGCGGCTGAGTAGTTCTCTTGGGCAGTGGCCACCTGGAGCACAGTCCACTTGATCTGGTCTGCCAAATCCCAAATGCCCCGAGAAAACAAGTGCACGGGCCCAGTGTCTGCATATCGCAGCAGCGACCATATAAGCAGGTTCCAGGGCTCGTAAGCCAGTGTTGCCGGTGCCACCGACTTTGTTGGACTGTAGACGTGGGTCAGGGTCGGCTTTGCCATTACTGCTGCTGGGCTTCCAGCTCTTTCCACGTGGTGCCTCTCATCACCAGTGCTCACACGAAATCCCGAGAGACCCCTAAATGAAATGCGATCAGAGAATTAAACACAGTTGAAGTGTCGTTCTTTTTAGCTAGGTGCATCTTGAACCCGACGAGTGTCAAGCCCATGTAATACAGCTTAAACTCAATCGTAGTCTTTGCATATATATATATATATATATTGGTGGAACCTGAACTATAATTAAACCCTAAACCCAAATTCCTAGGCCTAAACCTATTTAATATTCCCTTATATATATATAATAATAATTTAAAGGGAATACAGTATATAATATATATATATATATATATATGCATATATATATATATAGCTAGATATATGTAATATATATATATATATGATATATATAAAATGGTATATGCAATTTAAAAAATATATATATATATATATATACATATATATATATAGATACGATATATCTGAAAACCCGTATATAAGCTTATATATACGCAAGTATTTCCATCAGGAGATGCAAGAACTATGGAATCAATGGGCCGAGCTTGATGAGCTTCGTCAGTTTCTTATCCAGGAGGAGAAGTGCGGCCGCTTCTCACCTTATGCGGCCTTGTAGATGCCTAGAAGGCTAGCGCTATATACGAGAGAACGGCACTAGAGCCCAGATTCCGCACGAAACCCTCCTAATATAGTCAATAATCCTGCACCAACCGCTCTTAACCTATATTTAGAGGGAGTCGGGTCTCTAGGTGACAGTGTCGGACACCACAACTGCAGCGTGAAAACGCGTGATTTGGCGTGATTCTCCCTTCTTGTTATTAATATTACGCAGCCCCTCCCAGCGTGACAAAGCGTGATTTGGCGTGATTTCGGGAATTGTGCTCCAGCTATACTTACCTCTTGTGGCCTGGACCGGCCTGGAAGACGATCCGGGGAGCTCCATGGCAGCACCTTCCGATGCGGATTTGGCCAAGGCGGGGTGGGTGTTTGTGGTCTGTTCGGCGGTATACGTGTTCCACTGGGTCCTAGTCAATCCGGAAGGTGGCGCAGGAGGCTATGCAGGCGGCTGAGCGAAGGAAGCAACTTGTTGCCCAGATTATGCAGAAGGCCCCACCGAAGCGGGACATCGAGAAGGGCATGCCAAAGACCCCAAACCGAACAGATGGTATCAAGCGCTTGCACCACAAACTCACTCCTGCTAGTGCAAGCACGAAAACACCGTCGACTGCGACCCCGGATGCGAAGAATCCAAAGACAGAGGTTGATGATGCAAAGAAAACACTCTTCGGTGACTAGGTCGCAGCTACACCATATCAGACCCCCGCTGCCTAAAGTAATTAGATGGTCCCCTCTTATCACATCCGAGGTTCCTCGGAGGCAGCTGTGGCCCAGGCTGAAGACACGCTGATCGACCGAGCGCCGTCGAACCTGTCTTTGCTATCGGCAACTACTATGGTGCTTGGGCAGAGTCCGAGGGCAAAGGCGAGGTAAGGGGTTTCGAGTTCGAATATAATTGTGTGCTCACATCCGAAACTACCGGGCCCTTAAAAAAACCTGCAACCGCAGGATGAACTGTGCGACTTGGACGGGGAATACATTACAGATGCGGAGCTCGCACAGATGGACGCTGACATGAAGGCTATTCGGACTCTGCAATGCACTCCAGCCACTAGCCCCATATCCTTAAACCCGAGTAGAACCGTGACCCTAAACCCTAAACCCTAAACCCTAAACCCAAAACCCTAAACCCCAAATGCGAGAGGGAAAAACCCTAAACCCTAAACCCTAGCCTAGCTATGCATATACCCATAAACCCTAATATATATATATATTAAATATTTAATTTTAATATTAATATTATATATATATATATACACATGCATATAATATATATTGTGTACTGATATATCGTATGTACATATATATGACCTATAATATTAAACATGCATGTATTTTATAATTATATATATTTATAGGCAGTACATATAATATATATAATATAATAAATATTAATATATATATATATATATATATATATAATGTCAGGCCGAGCAGGAAGCGAGCCAGCAGATCGAAGAGGCTACGCAAAGGAGCCCCCAAAAGCCGGCTGAGATGATGCAACCCCCCGAAGGAAGTGAGAAACCCCACCAGGAAGGGCTCCTGGATGAAAGCGAAAAGACACAAGGAACTGAGAAACCCCATGGCCAGGAAGGGCTCCTGGATGAAGGCGAAAAGACCCAAGGAACCGAGAAACCCCATGGCCAGGAAGGGCTCCGGGATGAAGGCGAAAAGACCCAAGGAACTGAGAAACCCCATGGCCAGGAAGGGCTGCTAGGTCTCCAGGACAAGTTGCAAGGCCCAGGATCTGAGCAGAAGCTATCGTTGGCCGATATCGAGAATGCCATCCAAAAGAGCGGCAAGGACGGCGACCTCGTGAAATGGCTTGTGTCGTCTTTGGTGGGCCCAGGTCTTGAAGGAGGCGGATCGGGCACGGGCGAGCCGTCCGCAATCGAGCAGGCCTTGAGGCGACCTGGAACAGTGGACTTTCAGCAGCTGATGGCGAAAGTGGCCCCATCCCAGCAGCCGACTACTCCTGCCGAGTCCCAACCGGGTGCGGCATCTGTCCCGGCAACACCCGCTGCAGCCACTCCAACCCAGCCGGTCACTCCCCTGCCGATTCCGGACACAGCACCTGCACCTGCAGCTACCCCCGGTCCAGCTCCAGTCACTCCCGTGCCGCCCAAAGCATCTGCACCCAAGCCGGAAGCAAGTCTGACTCCACCCCCGCCACCGAATCCGGAGGTTGTCGAGGACGTTTAAGTTTCCAAACAATATCACGTCGTGTGTATATTGCAATCGACAATGCAGCTGCAGGACCGAAAGATGAGGCGGAACGCGTACATGAGATTCAGCCGGTCCCTGACCAGCAACTCACTGTGCAGTTAATATATATATATATATTATATGCTGTATATTTTCTATATATATATATATATATATATTTATTTATATATACACATACATATATATGTATATTAATAACATGATAATTGTACATATATATATACATATAATAATAATACTTACGGTTTAAACCCTAAACCCTATGAAGCCCTGAGCTGCTTAAACTTTATAATACCCAAATACCCCAGGCCCGAAATTCCTAACCCGCTCTTTAATCCCAGGTGCCAGTTGCCCTGACGCGGTCCTAGATGCATATGAGAAGTGCAAGGACTCCCAGGGTGACTTGGCCACAGTATATGCATATATGTGTGTGAGAGAGCGACTAGCCGTGTATAATTATGCAAGATACGATACACATGCTAAGGACGTGTCAAGCGCGACAAAGTCCAGGAACTGTTTAGGCAGTACCTGGACTGTAACGAGCAATGGGGAGAAAGCGAGCTGGTGATGACGGCAGAGGCAAAGTCATCGCAGAAAAGCCGTACCCAGCGAAGGTGGATGACTCGGAAGGACCTCTAAAGTTGTAGGTGGATATATATATATATATATAATAAGATCGCTAGATTATATATATATATATATATGTGCATTACCATGCCTGACCAGTATATATCTATCATGCATATATATATATATATAATATTGTAGTATACATGCATAGCTTATCCCTTGAACCCTACACCTCCAAGCCCTAGACCCTAACAGCCGCTCAAGTACGCTGACGAAAACGTGGTCAATGATATTATCGCATCAAAGGCCTCTTGGTTGCTTAAACCGAATCCACTGCATATTTGTGAGTCAGCAGGCATATAGCTAGATTTACTTGTGCCGAGGAAGGCATTGATGGCGAGTGGATGGACAATCCCGATGCCCCGGGAAACAAGGACCGCCATGCTCTAGTACTATAGGTTTGGGGTTTAGGGTTTAGGGTTTAGGGTTTAGGGTTTAGGGTTTAGGGTTTAGGGTTTGGGGTGTTGTGGACACACGTCTTATTGTGGTATAATCACCTTCACCCTCACCCCTCAGGTATTATTGAAGAAGCTAGCTATATAGTATGGATTTGGGATTTGTTGCCGGGGTTCAGGCCCCACTGTTAATTAGATTTGATCCCACATGCACACACTCAGAGTCATGACTCCAAGTACCGAGTAACTCCTTACTCAAAGTGCTTAGTCGATGCTAGTGCAACCCCGATCCAACCACCAAAATAAACTAACCCTATATATAATTGTCCTGCCCTTCCAGGCTCTCCGTGCCTACCTTTGTTGGGATGTTGCCACCGAGACGGCAGATGATGAGAGTACTCACACGGTTACGAGGACCCGAAGTGCCGACGTGGACCCGAGCTCCCGGGCCTCATCATCTCGAGACACCCAGCTGCCACCTCCGCCTGGCAACAAAAACAACAAAAACAACAAGAAAACCACGAACAAAGACAACGAGAACACGAAGCCCAAGAAGGAGAAGACTGTGCAGCAACAAGCAAAAGCCGCCACTTGTATTGATCATAGTTGTATGCATCATTTCGATAGCTAGCTGGTGTCCACATGCCCTAAACCCTAAAACCCT